AGGCTGTGTTCTCGTAAGTGCCTAGCAGAGGGGAATAATCATTTCCCTTGATCTGCTGGCCGTGTTCTTGTCAACATAACATGCTCCTCGTGACCATGAGGATGTAGTGCTGATTTGGTTGCTATTCTGTATTTCGCTTTCATTAGTTCTTTCAGAAGACAACAGTTTCAACAAGGGCAAGGAGAGGAGCAGTTGTGAACTGTATAGAAAGAGATATCTGCCTACATGGCAGCCTTCCCTCTCTTGCCTCTCAAACAGTCAAGACAAATGCACTGAAGATGGGAGCCCTGTGACTTAGTGTATGCGTTGTTCAAAGCATCAGAAGCAGATCCTTCACTGAGAATGTAAAGGAGCTGCAGCAACACAGGGAAAAATATCTGAGCCTGGTTCTGCAGCCTGAGATTTGCACACATTTCTCTGAACGTAGTACAAGTGTCTCATCCCTTTTGGACCAAGAATCCCTAATAGAGAAGGACTAAGGATTGTTATCCGATTCATCTTCTGGGACAAATATTTATGTTAAGCTTCCAGATAGTGTGGATCATTCTGTAAAGAAAATTCTTCAGGTCTTTGTAGTAGTGATGGCATTTCAAAGCTAAGGCATGTGTGTTGTACATACCTGTTTGTGGCACTAATACTCTTCTGTGTGATTTCTTTTACCTTGAAAAGAGAATATTTTTGTRAACTTCATGTTATATTTTATTAGCTTTGCTTTTAAGAATTTCTTAATTTCCAAATAGGTTCATTTCGCAGTTTTCAAGTGTCTAGAGAACTTTAGCTTTCACTCTGTCAAATGCTTGAAGTAGTTACATTTTTCTTTGACTMCTGTTTTTATAACTGCCCTAATTACTTTGACTTTCTGCTTTACCATGAAGTTTTACTGATAGTAAGGAAATGAGATTTTTTTTTTCTTCTTTATCATTGCAGCAAAACCTGGCATCCACCTAAGCTAAGAAAACGGTCTGTTCCCTAGGGAAACTTTTCTAGAATTAGCTTTGGCTTTTATGTATGCAGTGCACCCTCCTAGACTGCCGTTTAGCTTAGCTTGGCCTGAAGCAAAATGTTTCAGGATAGTTAGATTACCAGGATCTCCCAAACTAATCTTATGAAAATAATACTAAAAATAATTCTTTATTTCCCTCTATAAAGCGTGTGTCTTTCCATCGTTAGTATAGCTCTATTCTCACGCTGTCCAGGGTAACTGTCAATTGTGTTGTGATCCTGGATAGCGCCTGGCTTGGTGCCATTCCTACAAGTGGTGGGAACTGGTGTCTGCTTTTGCCAGAGGCAGAGCAGATAGGGCAGCCCTCTGGCAATTTCTTCCTAGACCTCAGAACTTTTCTTTAAGAAAAAGTGAATTTTGTCAGCGCCACAAAGCATTTGCTGCTTGTCATGGTGGTAAAGTCCATGACTTGGTAATTGTCCTCAAAACCTGCAGAGGCAACACCAAAGATGTAGGGTTTAGAAGTATCAGAATTMCCTATGGATGGTGCGAATGGCCATTCAGGTCCCAGGGAAGAAGTCAGGAGTTGGACYTACCTAAAAACTGATCTTCCTGACCTTTCAAGGAGAACTTCCCGACCCCAGGAGAAGGCGCCCTGGAATGCCCTGCGACAGAAGGGCAGGGATCCAAGCACCTTGGCCCCCTCTCACTGGAAGGCTGAGGGACCGCTGTGTGGTGCGAGCTTGCGTGATACGTGTGCTGCAGCCCCTTCTTTTCCAAGGAAAATGGAAATAGTCCAGCAGTTGTAAGACAAGATGATCAGAAATGTGAAAATAAAGCACTGTGTGTTTTTAGATTGTAAATATTACGCTATTTGTATACACATTTTTATGAAATTCTAATGAACAGAGTAAGTATTTGTTGTGATGAGTACTTTGAACTGGTCTTGGAGTGGCTTCCTTCTAAACAACCCGTCATGTTAGTTGTGTTTTCCTTCTATAATCAATTCCAATTTCAAAATACCGGAAAGAAGAATACTTTGGAAGTACATTGTTTTAGAATACATCCCTAAATGAAGAAGAGAAATAATGATTTTTACTTGATAGTGTGTGAAGAATAATAAGGTAGTAGAGTGAGCCTTGCCTCTAGCTTTACCTAGCTTTTGTCATTGATACAAATAACTCGAACCTATGAGCATAAAGAGAAGATGGGTGCTTGAAAATGTGATTCTGTGAGTCTGGTTGGATAATTTTAAAATTTCCTGTGTGCTCTGACATGACTTTGCATAGGAAAAGTGAGGGTGTTTTGTTGAAGTATAAACTGGTTAAAAGTTAATACTATTTTTTGATAAGGCACCCATCCTAAACTAAAATGTTCATGTAATTCATATATATGCTTAAGTAATTAAGGATCCACAAATTTCTTTCTTTAGCATATGCTTCTACAAGTCAATACTCTCTATATTTGGGGTTCAGATCATGTTGCCTGTTTAAGGTGAGGATGAAGACAGATATTATTTTATGATACATTGTTAATCCTTTGTTCTGAGACATTTTGGAAGTTTTAATTAGAGTTAAAATATGGTGCATGTTTACAAAAAGCCTGAAATCTATGTGGACCTATCGATCATAATTATTTGAATCATTAGAACATCTAATTTTTTTGCTTAAGGATACACAAATATACCGTTAAATCTGTTTTTTAAGATTTTCTTTTCCAGTTTAATGTCTGAATCCAAATTCATAAAGAGTTGGAAAAATGAGATGTCTGAGCTATAGGATTCACAGGGATTTCGTATGAAGCCTATTTAATCAGGATAACACTGTTATTAATATTCATCAAGTCAGCTGGAACACAAATGACAGACTATAGGGGCCTAAAATTTTTTACTTGTGAATTTATTAAAAGCAGCTTAAAAAATTAATGGAATTTAAGTAAAGTTGACAAAAATGAAAATCTTATGTTAGCAGAAAAAATCTTTATTGGAACTTTCTCTAAGACCGTCTCACATTGATATCTTTGACAGGTTTCATTGGTACTTAAGGAAGAAAGATGCATGAATGGTCATTTAAAAGGATTTAAACACATTGGCACATTAATTTTTACATGAATAATAAGTAGTTTCCAAAAGCAATTAACTTACAGTGTACAAGATTTGAATAGGAAAATAGGACTGTGACATCAAAGGGCAAAGCAAATGTGCTGTACATTTTAAACTTTTAATAATGTGACTTCTTAAAATCTCTCTCACTTCCACAGTAGGTAAAGTAACAGTGAAGATAGCTCTGTACAGCTTTAGTTTTGGAGTGTGTTAAGGTCTGGACCAAAGAAATGCTTTGACCAAGTGCTGTTGGCAGCTTAACTGTGGTGAACATGTTCTCTTGAATCTGGCTTTCTTCACCATTTGTGCCTGGAAAATTGGAAAATATGCATATGATGGCTTTTTTCTTTTTCTTTTTCTTTTTTTTTTTTTCCTTCACATGCCTAGTTATAATTTTCGCTGGGAAGCCTTCTCTGTGTTTGGGGTTTTTTTCTTTTCTTTTTTTTTCTTTTTTTTTTTTTCCCCTGCGAGGGAAATAGGCAGCCCTAGGAAATCCATGGTAATAGTGGGAAAATATTGCTTAATTTATACTCATGTAGAGAGAAGCTTTTGTAGTTAATTTTGTTGTGTCATTTTTACATGGCTGTTGCATATGATATTTGCCAAATAAAAATGGGTTTTGACCTTCTCTGGTTGATGTGCAAATGGTAGTCTTTAACCCAACTGTAGGTTGAAAAAAAGGATAGTGAATAATGTTTTTAACTCTGGATTGTGCATCACACTTTCATTATGTAATCTTGGGTGTGTGTTTGGTTGTGTGTTTTTTCTTTTTTTGTCTCCTTCCCCCCGATATACCCTATTTCCAGATTGGCTTTATCTGCATTTTTATGTTAAATCGTATATTGACTAGAAAATTGGCTAATTTGTAAATAGGTTTCAATAATGCGTGATGGCTTTATAACAAATTATATTCAAATGAGAGTAAATAAAAGCTATAAAAAAACTCTCTTCTCCCACCCCCAGGGATTCCTCCTAGGCAAACCTGTATGATCACGGTCTACTTTCGATTGTTGTTGTTTTGGCAAAGTCTACTTTTGAGAGCAAAAAAGATATATGTCCAATATTTGCAATCAGTCTAGATACCAGTTGCGATATTTGTGTTCGTATTCAGAATAACTATGGACTCTTTAGTACATGGACTATTTTCTTTCTTTATTAACATTTTTTTCTAATAATAGCAGAAGCACCCTGAGAAACTTAATCCCAAAAGGTGATTCTGTTTGTTGATTAGTAGGTTGCCTGATCTGTTTTCAGCAACGTTTTTATCTTCTGTATCTGTAAAGCAGAGCAATTCCTATTAATTAACAGAACACCTTTCACTGTTGAAGACTGCCAAGTCTCCCTTTCTGAGTTTATTATTCACTTGATCTATTCTATTGTTTCCAGGAGAGGGCAGCATTTTCCTGCAGCAGGTACATGAAAGAACAAGCCCTGCTTAGACTGTCAATGTTTCTTGTAATTACTCCCAGTATATTTGTTGCTTGCTTATGAATTAACTTGCATTTATGGAACTAAATCATTCCAATCATTTAATTACACCTGAGGAGCTGAACTATAATTGCTTGCTTCCAACTAGGATCTGATATGGCTTGAGCAGTATTAATTTGGTGTTTACTTTCCTGAGTGCTAAAAGCATTAAAATGATTGTGCAATGGGATTACATTTTACTAATTGCTGGCATTCATTAGCTGGGTAAATGGCGAGGAAGAATGACTGTATATTGTGCAGGGATAAAATTATGGTTTTAAATAGTACATTACTAGGCACATTAAGGCCCTAAGACATGTTTTAAAATACTCCAGAGGTTATTAAATACCGTATTTTCTTCATGTCTTGCTATATGAATATCTTATTAAAATACTGCAATTATTATGAACCTTTTTGTGCAATATGTAGGGAAATGGCTTCATTGACAGAAACCTATTTCTTGATATTAATAACCTTCTATATTTTCAGCTAATCCAAAGGTAAATGAGGAACTTAAGAAAAGATTGCCAACTCCAAATCAACACAGTTACGCAGAATTGAAAAAGCAGCAGCATACAGCTTCATTTGAGGACTTCTGTAAGGAACTCCATGTTCTGTGATATGAGGTGAAGTCTTTTTTTATTAAGAACTAGACCTATCAACATTTTGTTTTTATCATGCATACTTAGTTAACCACAAATATGAGCTTATATATATTTCTTGAATGCTTAATATAAATGCTGGTCTTAAATCTTAAGTGTTTACTTTTTTGAATAATTTCCACGTAAAAAATGAGAAGATATAGAGCTTTGGAAGTTGTATAGGAATGACAACTTGTTTTCTTTCTTGCCTTTCTAGTTAAAATGTACACCCTCATCTAATACCTGTGAATCATAAAATATATGCTTGTTTGTTTTTAACTCTTAGGTATACTGTCACAAGAACAGCACCCTGGATATTTTCATGGCCCAGCCAGTGTCTCCTCAAGCCATGTGTTTTTTCTTTAAATAAATAGAGAAAAAAATATGCTGGGGAAAAAATATATGTTAAAAAAAAAGCGCGCTTTGGTCAAAGATGAAATGTTGTTTTTTGTATAAAACATTTTAAGAGGACTTAGGTAAATAATAAAATTCATGGTAAACTTACTGTGTTAGTAAGAGTACTAATTTTAATCTTTTAATTAAAACCCTGACATGTTAAAAACTCAATTATATTAAATATATCAGAAGCTTTTTTTAAAAAAAAACATTCAAAATGTTATATGGCAAATGTACTATTTTAGGTATAACTTACTAGAGCTGAGTTTTACCTCAGATCTTTTGTGGTATGAAATATTTCAAGAGCGTAACTAATGGTTTTCTATGAACATACGTGCAAATATTCAGTTGGATTATTTGGGAAAGCCAATCAAATATCTACAAGGTCAGAACTGAAATGGGTATAGGCCATTTTCCCAGTATTTTATCCCTGGAGTTTGGGCAGATGAAAGGATGTTTGAAGCAAGTGCAGCTCGTCCTGCCATCTGCAAGAAGGAGCCCAGGGAGCGGGCTCTTTGCCCCAAGTGGGGCTGCTTGCTGTGGTCTGGGCTGCGCTCCGTGGCGTGTACCAGCAAGATCACATCTACAAAAAGAAGGCAAATTAAAAGTGATTCAACACCAGCTTTGCCTGCAAGCAAAAGCTGAACAAAGCCATTATATAAACTGGATGTGTTAAGAGAGAATTTTTTACTGAGAAATATAATCTAGCTCTAATAGAGTATACCGCCTTGTCCTACTCTAAATATTTTTAAATCATTTGTCTTGTAAATTCTCAGTCAAAGACATAGGATAGGTGGGCTGTATTATAGTGTTTTGAGTTTATTTATCTAGAGTTTGCTTTATTTTAGCTCTGAAATCTTGGAGCAAAAACTGGAGTCAATGCCAGATCAAACAAGTTCAGAAGAACAAATGGAGGACTGGTCAAAAGGTAAAGACTTTTAAGATATTAATAGGAAGCCTCAGGTGTTGTACCAGTGCTAGGCAGTGACTGGAATGTATTTGTTCTTGTCAAGATATACTCAACTTAAGCGGTAGAATTTTTTTGGTTGACTAGGGGCTTGTGGGGTGGTGGCTGTTGTTGTTTTGGGTGAGGTTTTTTGTAATAGGAAAGCAGCTACAAACATGAATTCTTCTAAACCCCTCTGTATGAGAGGAGYGAATTAAGGGATGTAAATCATCAGCTTTCACTGTGTTTGGCCACTGAATCTTCGTCAATTCTAAGATGTCTTAGGCATATCTTTAGCCCATGTATTATGCTTTACTTCCCCAAATTTTATTTAATAGTTACAATAGCAACAGTCCTGAAGTGTGTTTTAAAGTGACTTTCTTAACTATTCTTGCCTGGCTAAAGTATGATCAAATAAGTTATCTACTAATATTAGGTAGACTTATATTATTGCTTCAGAGAGTAAGGTTGGACTTTGAGGTAGAGAGGGCCTTGGTTCCCTTGGATTTGGTTCACTGGCCCCTTGAATGGTGCRATGGAGTGATCTCTCCATCAGGATGGAAGGATCTTCTTGTATTTGGATGACCAAAATGTTGCACTCAGATACAATTGTTTGCTTCATGGAAGAAGCTTGCATAAGTTAGGATTTTACATGACTTTAAGCAAGTGCTGGACAGGTGATCTGTGACTCAATGACTTGTGTAAGTTGAAAACAGGCACAGGAGGGAGCCCTTTAGTACATCAAAAATGGTGGATTTTTTTGGCAAATGATTCACTGTAGGTCAAACTACAAAAAAAAATGAATGGGTTGGTCAATATCAAAGATGCTGCTCCATCAGATCCTCTTAGCATCTGGTGAACTCTTCTTTTGGCATTTTATCATATGTGTACCTTCTCAGAAGATAATAGACCTATAATTTGTCATGGGGAAAATCAACTGTCCTTTAAAAGAAAAGGAGAAAGTGCTCCATGTTGGAGAAGATGATACATTTCCTACTAATGGAAAAGAAATTCTGCCTATACTGTCCATATAACATATTAGTTGAAGACCTCTTTTAATGCCTGAAATTTTGAGAGTTTACTGAGGTAAATTGAAGTCTTTTGGAATCGGACACACTGAGAGGTATTCACAGKGTAGTAACTTAGCAGAAAAATGTATTCTGACAACTTATACTGTATTTTAAATGTGTTACTGCTTATTCAGATATAGTATTTTTAGACCTTTAGGGGTCAGCATACCCTAAGAATGGTTCAAAAGGTTAATTTTTTCCAAAGTRGGCTAACAGTGAATGCCTTGAATTGATTCTGCCAAATATTTTCTGSCCAATTGCAAGAAACTATTTTCTTCTACAGCTTACACCCATTTTAAAAACAGACTAGTTTGAGCTTCATGTGCATTATCTTCCGATAATTWAAATTTGTATATTGTGTCATTTTGAATGCTTTGTCTTCCAAGCTAATGTTCCTGTATCTGTGAATCTAAGAAGGTGGGCATACAAAAAAAGCTTGAAAGAAAAATTGCCATCCTTATACTTTTTGTCACAATCATGTAAAAAAAATGCTTTTACTTGTAGAGAAGTTTAAAAAATGTGGGGTATGGAGTATATAAACCTCGTGTCACATGTTGGTTGAACAAGGAAGCAATGCTTTTCAGAAGTTTTATTTAGACATTAGGTACTTTATGTTCYTGTAATTTATCTAACTGCCAACTTTTGCAGCTAGATGATGTTCCTAAGACGATGTTTATTATGTCCTTTTAGGAGACATTTCCTTCCACTTTTTCATTGAGTTTCATAGCTAGCAAACTTTGAACATTCTTTCTAAGTGTCTAAATATGAAATGTTTTCCCTTTAGCTTTCATTGCCATTCAGGGTGTCTTTCCTTTCTGCACCTGTCAGCGTACCGTGTTTAATTATTCCCTGCTTGCAGCTTGGAAGTTTAAAGGGGATGGGTTGGTTTGAATCAATCATAACAGATTTTTCTTAAACAGAATTCGTCTTATAGCACACCAAAAGTTTAGAGATCAAATTAGATGCCAAAAATAATTGAATACCTTTAAACATACCTGAAATTAATTTCAGTTGGCTAAATGAAAATTCAGACAAATAATGGAAATGAAAAAAAAAAAGTACAGGCAATATATAGAGAGAAGTCCCAGATTTAGATTTATGGCATTTATGTGGGATAATAGGTAATGAGTTAATATTATAAAATAGGCAATGTGTGTCTGAAGTGTGTTGCATGTGGTGTTTTAAATTCCAGTTTTGTTGGGTAACAAATATGCTTGTGTAGATGGAAGTCATGTTTCTGTGTCTGTTCTCACATATTAGAAAAAGTTAAGGAACAGCCTGTGTGCAAGAATTGTTATTTTACATTTGTACCTAATTTAAATGTACTATTTAKCTCCACAGGACCTAGTTTTTAATAGGAGCATAATGACTTTCCTCATTTCTCTTTAAGAATACTTGAGAGAAAGGCTCTGGAGCATTGGCAGCATGCCAGGGAAGAGCATAACTTCCAAATGAAATGTTCAGACTCCAAGCTAGAAAGCCTAGGACTAGGGTCTATTATAAAAATAAACTTATGGTGGCAAGCATGAGTGCAGCTTTTATGTTTTGCGAAAGAAGATGGGACACACTCTGCACCTGAAAGAAGAACTGTTACCTTTCCAGACTTAAATGCATGGCCAAAAAACACCCAATTGCTAGTACTGTAAAAAACATATGAGGAAACTTGAATCCATACTGGGTGCTTTGCATACTTGCATATTCATGCAGGACTTGATACGTCAGTTTTCAAAGAGTTAGCAGGAGAGGAAAGTGGTAAGTGTGCAAATACTGCAGGTAAATTTGTGTCTCATTTGACTAGTATTGACTGTATTTGAATGGGTGCAGGTATAATTCTTTTGTAGCATGTTGGATTTTCACTCTTGTAGTATTTTTTTTTTCCTGCGTTCAACTTCTGCCCTCTTTGGAAAAATCATAGATGTTTGGGAAGTAGGTGAAGTTTTGCTTTATCAAACATTGTTTGCTCTAGTATGACAGAAAACTTGCGCTTTTGCTGACTCAAATGAAAAGCATGGTATAACTGTTTTGAATTTTCTAAAATGAGGCAAGAGATTATTGTTTTTTTTAAGGGCCAAGTGGTTGGCTGGCTTAGAAAAGTAATTCTGCTTTCCAATAAAGACATATATATGTGTGTGTGGCTGTAGATATATGTACATATGTATATTTCTAAATCACTGCTTAAAGCCAATAGTGAAGGGTTATGTCAGTGAACCACTTTCACCTGCAAGAATTTGATGTCAACTCTTAGTTATGGTCACTGCATTCACTTTCGTTATAACCTATGTTATCCTTTAGAAAAATATTTGTCTGCCTCATAAAAATACTTTAAAATTGCATGCCTGGAAACCATGGTGCAGAAGAGACTGTTTTGAAAGAGATGTGATAGTGTAGATTGGAAATAAATGGCAGAACTAGCTTTTGTGCAGGGAAGTTTGACAAGCGTTTTAACTGGTGCCTGGCTGCTGTTCTCTAGTTGTGCCCTGCTAGGGAAAAAGAGAGGATGGAAACAGAGATGCAGACCCAGTTAGCAAACTGTGTGTGTGTGTGTGTGGCTGCCCAGGTGGACATGGGTGTGTTAGGGTTCTGCGTGAACAAGTCCCTGTTGCGTTGCCCRTTCCTGCCAGTGCCTGGCATGGACACCTGGTGCTTCTGCTAAGAACATGGCCAGCACCGTTCTTGCGTCCTCGTGATTGTGACATATATCMCTGTGGTGGTGTTAGCAAGAATACTTGAGTTCTCTTTTGTGTAAAGAGTTACTTTGGAGACTGAAATTTTGTTAGAAATATTTTGTACCTTTATTAGCTCTTTTTTTCCCCTTCTCTTCTTCCTTAGCCTACTTTCAAGAAATGAAATCCTTCTTTCTTTCTTCCTTGCCACAAATGTATGCATTATCTAATTAGAATAAGTTAGCCTTTCACTTTTTGTAATGATTTTAACATGCTGTTTTTATGGGTTTAGTTTTGTCAGTCTTGTGTAATTGTAAGAACTTGTTGTCTGATATTATTATTCTATGATTTTGTTATTCTATGATTTTGTTATTCTATTATTATTCTATGATTTTTGTCACATAGCAAGTCACATGTCACAAGTCACATAGCAAACTGAAAATCTTAAGAGGTAGAGAACTTGAAGAGCAATATGGTAAGGATGTTTTTCCCTTTCGTGTGAGGTGCTACTTATAGAGATGCTGCTGCTTCTTCAGGACATCTGTTACAGCTGTAGACATGGGCTAAAATAATCCCCGAATCCCTCCTTCCAAGGCTGCAGTAGAGACAGAATGAATGATACTAGGTTCTATCTTTTGCATGCCTCAACAGAAGATACCATTAGCCTGTTCCTTCCCTCCTTTCTCCTTTTAGCAATAAGGAAAGCTGTTTATTTGGAAAAGAAAGAAGCCCGGGGTATTTGCAGTGGAATAGGCAAAGGAATGTGCATCATGTTTGCAGCGGGCTTGTGCATGTGGTTCAGCTGAGCGCTGTCCTCCACGGGTGCCCTGCATCCAGCAGCAGGCTTGCTCATCGTGTGCTGGCCGTCACAGACCCCTTGGAAGGGACATGGGTAGCTGCAGGTTGCTCCATACAGTGTGTGAAGCAGGGGAGAGGTGGAGGGGATGGCTGTGTGTAGGTAAAACAGTGCAGGAGGATGGGGTAGTAACTGCCCCCAGTGATAAGTATGAAAGATGATGAAAAAATCCTTGCATGGAAAGAGAGAATAACGAGCCCTAACTTTGGAGAGGATAGCAGTAACTGAATAAACTTCAAAAGCTGGTCTTCCCTCCAAATGCAGCTGCCTTTCCGTGTATATAAACTTTCATGCCTCTCTCTTCCACCCCCTTCCTTCCTAAATACAAATTGAATGAGTATTTACAGTCAAGTTGCACAGAATAAGGGTCCTCATCAGAAGAGCGGTTTTGTC